TCGGCCAATAAATTGATGTACTGCCTATGGTTGCTTTCGTGCCATAATGCCACAGTTCAGCAGTTTCAGCAGAGGTCATATGCCCTGCAGAGCCTTAATTCATTACTTCCTGGACTTTTACACATAAAGGTTTGCCACCTCTGTGCTGCAGCTGCTCTTTGCCTATCGCTGTCACCAACTATTGATCACTTCTGGATAGATATATGAGTCACTACTGTGACTTATATTTCCACACATATGCACATTCTGTTTATGAGGCCTTGGAATATGCTTTTCAATATTTTGTAAAAATGTTTTTGGTCAAAAAGGCCCGTACTACAGTGCTGGCAGCTAGAGGAGGATGAGTTTTGCTGTAATCAGGGACAAGTGTCTTGCAAAAGGCCCATGTTTTCTCTGCTACCCAATAAATACACATTTTTTTGTTACCAATTATGCAATTTCTGTATATGGAAATTTAGTATATGATGGCATATATGATTTAGCAAATGATGGCATTTTGAATCAATTTATAGAAATTGTATGAGACCAGCTATTTGAACTAAAACAAAAAACAAGGATTTAACTCCACACACACATATACACACACACACAGAAATTCTACTCTGATCACAATTTTACTTTTTTTTTAAATTGACTTGAGCATTGACTGTTATGGCTTTGTGGAGTGAGCACTGGCCTGTGAACAAAAGGACCTCTGGTTCAATTCCTGGTCAGGGCACATGTCTGGGTTACAGGCCAGGTCCTGAAATGGGGGTGTGTGAGAGGCAACCTGTCAATGCGCTACTCTCTCTTTCTCCCTCCCTCCCTGTTTCTCTAAAAATAAATAAAATCTTTTTAAAAAATTGAAAGAAACATCTATTTGTTGCTTTACCTATTCATGCAGCACTGGTTTTACGTGCCCTGACCAATGTTGGAACCCGCAACCTTGGTGTACACTGGATGACTCTAACCAGCTGAGCCAGGGCTGATCACCATTTTATTTATTTTTTTAAAAGATTTTATTTATTTATTTTTTGAGGGGCAGGGAGAGAGGGAGAGAAACATCAATGTGTGAGAGAAATATCAATTGGTTGCTTCGTGCATGCTCCCAACCAGGGAACTGGCCTGCAGCCCAGGCATGTGCCCTGACGGGTACTGGAACTGGTGACTTTTCCATTTGCAGGACCGCGCTCAATCCACTGAGCCACTCCAGCGAGGGCAGATGACAATTTTAAGTGAAAAAAAGAAAAGTACTGAAAGTAAGCAGGCTTTTTTATAAGCTTGGGGTAATAAAGGCTTTTTTAAAGAAAACCCAAAAGTCAAATACCATAAAGGAAAAAGATGATAGATTCGACAAGATAAAACTGAAAAACTTCAGCATAGAAAAACCACTCTGAACTTTTTGTTGAAAGACAAATTGCAGAAAGGAAAAAAATATTGGCAAAGTGTATATGACAAATGAATATCCCTTGTCTTTACAAGTAAATTAGCAAAGGACATATATAATAGAAAAATGGCCAAGGACGCCAGAGCTGGTTAATTTAGCAGGTCAACAAAGTCACCAAGGACCCATTCTGGACAGTGGGAAGAGCAAGAGCACAGGCCTGAGGCGGAAACAACTTGGACATGCTCAAGGAGCTTTGCTGACTTGGGGAGTGGGAAAGCCAACACACCCGAAGAGGGTGCAGCAAAGTGGATGCCCTCCGTTAGTGCTGGTAGGGGTGTGAGTTGCCCCACGACTTTGGAGAGCAACTGGGAAAAACCTATGGAACATTTCCAAGGTGTACCTTGCCACCCAGCTGTGCCATGTCCTTCTGTAGGTCTTCCCCAGGGAAGTCCTCACATAGGAGCATAAGGAGGCATGCAAAAGGCACGGTCATAGCACAACACGCTGAATACAGTCTATATGTCCATCAACAGAATGGCTTCTTAAAAATCGTAGGGATATTCATATTAAGGATTATAGTGCAGGAGTTTTATAAAACACATCTATCCAGACTGTCAGAGAGCCTTCTAAGGCATCAAAAGGGCAAAAAGGAAGCGATAAAACAACACATACAGGCCAATACGCTTTACATGAAAGAAATCTCCACATGCTAAAAAAAAATGCTGTTTTCTAGAAGTATATAGATATGAATGTAAATACAAAAGAAGAAGACTAGAAAGATGTTACCAAACTGGTATTAGTATAATTGGGAAAGGGGAGTTGCACCTTATATTATTTGAGTGAACTGACTCATTTAATGTGTGGAAATTAAAACAGAAATTTTTAGAGGTAATGGAGGGCTCAAACCCAGCCCTGGGGAAGTGAGGCCCAGGGCCTAAGGCGGGTTAGGGGGCACAAGCGCAGGGCACTTGCATGGCACGCTTGGTGGTGAGGGTGAAGGAGAAACGGGGTGGGGGAAAGCCCATGTGTTTGGAATTTTAAAAACACCTTTGAAATACAGAGAACAAATCATAATGGTAATTAGAGAATATTGAGACCTGAAAAATACAAAATACTATACTCCATATCAGGCCTGTGTGAAACAATGAAATGACACTTTGACGGATGTGCGTAGCTTTAAGTGCTCACATTGAAGGAGAACTTGGAGATGGATTAGTGATCTATACGGAGGGGATTGAGCAAATAAGACAACTTCAGAGACAGTCAAAAGTTGCATAAAAAGGAAAATACTAGAATGCCACATGAGTCAGCTTGGCTAGTGTCTCATGATAATACAAACACTGGACATCGATCCTCTAGATTAACAGGGCCCATGAGCATAGAGGATCTTTTTTTCTTTTATTTACTGCTTTACCTCCAGCCTCTAGAATGGAGCCTGGAATGTCACAGGCACTCAGTGACTATTGTCAAATGAATAAATCTAACCAAAAATGTGACATAACTATGTAAGAAGGATGCAGGGACAGGACACGTGTGCATAGATATGGTGGCAAGAGGTGGAAAAGAGTTAATCCTTAGCCCAGGCTGGTGTGGCTCAGTGGACTGAGAACCAAAAGGTCACGGGTTTGATTCCCAGTCAGGGCACATGCCTGGGTTGCGGGTCAGGTCTCCAGTGTAGGGGCACATGAGAGGTAACCACATATTGATGTTTCTCTCCTTCTCGTTCTCCCTCCTTCTCCCTCTCTCTAAAAATAAATAAAACCATTTAAAAAGTTAATCCTTAAATTTTATAGCAGGTAAACAATAGGTAATACCTAAAATTAAAGATTTGTGAAATAGCAACAGGAGCATATGATTTGGAAATAGATGGTAAAAACTAAAAGCAAAGTAAAACAAAATAGCAAAATGATTTGGAATTAGATCTCTCAGGGAAAAGAGAAATGAGCAGACTGCCTTTTTTTTTTTTTGGCCTTATAATATCATTCAGTTGTTTTCTTCTACAGGCATGTTTAGTAGATTGCATGGCGGCCCCCCCAAAAGGTACGTCTATGTCCTATGAGCCTATAAATGTGCAGTTTTTTTGAAGTGTTTTTGCAGATGTAATTAAGGATCTTGAGATCATCCTGGGCTATATGGGTGGGTCATAAATCAGAGTAGTGTCCTTACGACACAGAGAAGAGACAGAGACAGAAGAGGGGAAGGCCATGTGAAGATGAAAGTGAAGATTGGAGTTATGCAGCCATAGGCCAAGAAACGCCTAAAGCCACATGAAGCTGGAAGAGGCAAAGATTTTTTCCCCCGGAGCCTTCAAAACGAGTGTGATACCGTGGACACCTTGACTTTGGACCTGCCAGAGTAAACTTCCGTTGTTTTAGATCACCGAGTTTGTGGTACTTTATTACTGAGGCTGTAGGAATCCAACAGAGCATGAAAAACTGAGATAAAATAAAAACAAGAAAATGTATTGATGTATTTCACCACATTGATTAAAAGAGCAAATAATCAACACAGAAAAAGCTTCTCATGAAATAAACAGCTACTGATACAAAAAAACCCAAACCCTTAGCAAAGTAGAAAGAGAATAGGCCTACCTTAACCTGACAAAGAATCTTTTTTTAGGCTATACTTAATAACAGCAAAATCTGTAATTCTTCTTCCACTTGTGATATATATACATATAAAATAAATGTGTGTTATGAAAAGTCATGATTATACCATTCTAGCATAGTATTAGATATGGAGTCTTAAAAAAAAAAAGACAGAGAAAGATTGTATTTGTTTTTAGAGAGGGGAAGAAAGAGAGAGAAATATCAATGTGTGGTTACCTTTCAAGCACCCCATACTGGGGGCCTGGCCTGCACTCCAGGCATGTGCCCTGACGGGGAATTGAACCAGTGACCCTTTGACTTGCAGGCTGGCACTCAATCCACTGAGCCACACCAGCCAGGACTAAATACAGAGTTTTAAAATTGAGCTCTCCTTACTAGTTGCGTGACTTTTGTCAGATCATGTGTCTCAGTTGCTTTACCTGCAAAATGAGGGTAAGCCTACCGCAAATAATCTACTTAACAGTGAAACCTGAGTGAGAAACAAGACACCATCTGTACTGCTTCTATTCACTCCTGTATTAGATCCTGACCAGAGCAACAAAACAAATAGGAAAAGACAACTTCTAGGGAACAGCATTGTTTAGTTGCTCCTAGGTTGACAGGGCCAGAACCAGGAGAAAGACTGGATGTCAGACATTGAGACTGAGAAGTAAGAGGTGGGCAGAGAGCAGGCTTAGCAGAGTGGAGCTGAGGTCCCCAGCACCCCCAGACCCTGGGAATCAGAGCAGGGAAAGAAAAAGAGAGTAGGGGCCGGGGCCAGCAGCTGACAGGGCCGGGGCTGGCAGCTGTCCAGGCCCGTGTCAGAGCCGAGGGCGGCTGCTACCAGGGGCAGTATGCACTACACGTCCCTGGCATCCAGCACAGGCAACTTCCCAGCCTCCTCCTCGTAGGGGACGGCTTCCTCCCCAGCAAAGTCTCCACCTGCAAACGTCTATACTCATCATTATAAAAAGTTTCAGCCTTTATTAAATAAAAAGGAGGTAGAAGACAGATAAGGGAACAGGTCAGACAACCCTCCTTCCAACTACACATATACAGACATACAAATACAGACACAAATGAGTAAATGACAGGAACGCCTCAGGCGACAGACTGAAGGGCCGAGGGTGGCAGCACCCTCCGAGAGTGGGCCCGGACCCAGGGGTGGGCTGAGACCTGAGCCAGGGGTAGTCGGTCTGAGGGGTTATGTTTCAGCAGCTTGGAGATGAGGTCCTGGGCTCCCATGGGCACAGAAGAGGGGAACTTCAGGTCCACCTGCAGAAGCAGAGAAAGAAGAAAGGACTCACTGGTTTCATCCTGGCTGCTTTTTCCTTGACAGCCCATTCTATCTGGAGAGTTACACAGGCCCCACAAGTACATTCTTTGCACTCCCATCCCCCGATCTCTGCAGCCAGCACAGAGCCCTAGCCAGAGAGCCGGGGTCAGCCCTCCTACCTTGACGATGCGCCGGTAAGTTTCATTGTGTGAAGCACTCTCAAAGGGGGGGTTTCCCACCAGCAGCTCGTAGCAGAGTACGCCAATGCACCACAGATCCACTTTCTCGTTGTGCATGCGCCCCTCAATCATCTCTGGCGGCAGGTAGTCCAGGGTGCCGCACATCGTCTTCCTCCTGGAGGGGGTGGGGAGTGAGCAGGGATGCCGGAGACAGATGGCCTCTCCTTTGCCAGCTGCCGGACGACAAGGAGCTGAGCCCCGAGCATGTACCAGGGGAGTGTTCCAGCTGGGTTCTGACAGGGCTTTTGGGGCAGCTGTCAGGCAAAGCCATAAACCAAAGCCCCCGAGGTGGGCTCGCACACTGCCTCAGCATTCCCACACTGAGGGATGCGTCTGAAAACCATCAGATAGGAGGGCAATGTCCGCCTTAGAATTTAAGGAAAAATCAGAGACAGCTCGAATGTCCATCAGCACGTCCTGCTTAAATAAATCACTATTCATCTCTACTATACAATACAAAAAAGCCATTTGGGAGTATTCCCAATATGGCAAGATAGTCCCCATGTATTTAATAAGAAATCTGGGCAACAAAGCTATGAGTCTCTTACTTTTGTAAAGATACTGTTGTGTCTATATAGTTACATGAAGACAAACCCAAAAGTTCCTGGGTAACCAGACCTGGGGCGGTTTTATTCTGAGCACTCCAGCTTCACACCCGGGGCCGGCCTCCTGGCGCACTGTACCTCAGGGAGGGCGCGTGCACAGACCAGCCAAAGTCCGCAATCTTCAGCTCTCCCTGGAGCCCCAAGAGCAGATTCTCTGGCTTTATGTCTCTGTGAATCACCTTCTTCGCGTGGCAGTACATCAACGCATCTGCCAGTTCCTCCATGATCTGGGAAGGCCAATGACAGGTGGTCAGACAAGGATGCACCTCCAGCTGCAGGCAGCACCCCCCGGTCTCAGGCCTGCTACAGGCATTCCAGGTGCCCACCCCTGCCCAACCGTGGCTGTTCGCTGCTCGTCAAAAGTGCGACTCTTCTGCAGCTCCTTGTAGAGCTCCCCGCGGGGGGCGTACTCCAGAATCAAGTAGATTCTTCGGCGGTCATAGAAATAGTTGTAGAGACGCAAGATGTTGGGATGCCTGGGAGAAGAAACAGAGGAGGCCTCAGGCCGCATCCCGGCACGAGGAAGTGGGAAAAATGACAGGTCCATATGGGCCAAAGTGGGGTCAGACTTGGACAGGGCTGGGGACATCAGGGCTGGAAGTGAGAAGGGGGAACCGAAGACAGCTCTTTGGATTCAAGGCTCTGGCTGGAAATGAGAGCTCAATGGCTCTAAGTGGCCACAGCTACAGAGAAAACAGTCTGGATGAGATGGGGTTTAAAGAGAGGAGGCAGGTAGGGAGCAGAGGGGCTTGGCTCAGAGGGCATTGACCGTACTGCAGATGGGCCTGGATTTCGATCTCCCTGCGAAGCTGGTGCTCCACACCCTCCTTCTCTATCTGAGACTTGAAGAGGACCTTGAGTGCCACGATGAAACGGCTTTTCTTCTCCCGAGCCAAGTACACATTTCCAAACTTGCCTTTGCCCAGAGGACGCCCGATCTCAAAGTCGTCGATTGTGAAGGTCCGCCTAATTAGAGAGTGGGGGAAAGGCAGCTGAGCACGGGTTTGTGGGTCACCTGAGCTGTTGGCCTCTCTGCACCTCAGCCCATCCCCCCCTCGACCCCGCTTCTCCTCCAGGGGAGCTGAAGATAGATCAGGCCTTCTTGCCTGCGTCCCTATTCCTCCTGCCCATAGCTTCTACCTCCCTCACTTCCTATCCGTTCACTGTCCCACCCCCTCTCTTGCTACTCCATGGCTTGGGCACTTACATTAAGTTGGGTGTCCCACAGCTGTCCTGGCCAGAGGCGGCTAAGAAAAGAACAGGTAAGTCGAGGTTGTCCTTTGACATTTTCATCCCTGCACCCTCCCCAGGCTCCAGTCCCCTCAGGCCAATCTTCTTTCCCCTTGTCCCAGTTACCTGTGGGCTGGGCATTGGAGCGGCTCATAAGGACAAGCGATGATGGGGTGGCAAGCTCCTTCCGGAGGACTCTTTGTGGCAGGGTGTTCAGGCCAGATTGAGCCTGAGAAGGAGCACAGGGAGCTCTGAAGACGCCTTTGTCCCAGTGACCAGGTTGGAATGTGCTGCAAGCAGCATTTCAGTGCCTGCTGTAGAGCCACCCACGCATCCACCCAGCACCAGTTCAGAGGGGAACACGGAGACCACAGCATTGCTACTCAGCCCCAAGAGTCTGCTCGAGCCCCATATCAATGGGTACTAATAAACAAGCTAAGTCAGCTTAGGATAAGGAACAAAGACTTGCCCCAACAGTTAACATTTCACCTCTTTGGCCCTGGCCCACACCACATTCTCAAGCATGAAGCTGTCCAACCTCTACAGTCCTATCCATAAATCGGGCTGATTTACCCAGCTCTCCACCCCACCACGCAGGCTGGGGTGATGACCACCCCCAGTTCAAGGAGTTTTCACAGAAACACGCTCACAGTTCTCCCCAAATCTAAGTCTGTTAAGGCTCAGATAAAGTCCTCGAGGCCTTGAATGTTCAGCAAATACCAGCATCTACCCCTTTGCAACAACAGGCTTTAGAGACACTGAGGGATACTCCGATGGCCTTGGACCACTTCTCATTTTCAAATTCTGATTAATACACAAAACTTTCTTTTGGGAGTGACCAATGTAGAAGTGACAATGGTTTCTCTTTCAGCCTCCGCTCTTGACAGCCTCACTCAGTGTTTCATGAGGGAGGGAGCTGGTGGACAAGCGGCCAGATGGACCCTCCAGGATACCCAAGTCCTACAAACAGAGCAAGGCCTGTGTGGCTCCTTCCTTCTCCTTTAGCCAATAGAGTAGGAAAGCTGCAGTGCCCCTTAGAAGCTATTCCCAGTGATATTAGCATAGAATTTACAGATAAGCAAATTGAACAAAATAGAGTCAAGAAATAGACCCATGTATATGTGGGCATGGAATATAATAATAAAAGTGGCATTTCAAATCAGAGGGTAGACTCTTCAATGAAAGGTGTTGGGACACTTTCTATTTAGATCCTTATCTCACACCAGTCATTCACGGAGCCTGCTTGCTCAGTCTCAGTTATCATTTGTACACAACAAGTAGGTTCAGCCCTGCGGAGGTCCTCCCAGGCTGGCAGATTCAAGTTGGCAACACTTGGCAGGATGCTGCTGCAAATAACCAGACCAAGCTCTGCCTGCAAACTCTTGGAGAATAAGGGAGAAGAAAGTACTTAGAATATCGCCCTCTGCAGGACCTCAAATCTCCAAGCCGGAACTCACCAGGCGGGTTGGGGGAAGGTAAGTGGGAAAGCCCTTACCGTTTGCCGGCCGTAGGGCCAGGGGTAGGCGTTCTCCTTCTGAGTCATCCTTAGAGGGGAAGGGGGAGGAGAGCTGAGCAAAGAAGGGAAACAGAGCCGTGAGAAGCAAGAAAAAGGGGGAGCGAAAAAGGGAAGGGTCGGACCGATTTAGCTGAAAGCGATTGCCTGGGGCTGGTGAAACGGAGCAAGTCAACAAGTTGACCGCATCAGGGCTCACCCGGGCACTGGCCCCGACGCTCCTGCTCTACTACACGCCCCACCCTTTTCCAGGACACTCTCTCTAGCCTTGAGCACACAGCAGCCGGACAGTGTGCGGGCGGGCCCGTCCAACGGACCCCCGACCTGCCTGATCACCTGCCCTCTCCCGGCGCGAAAGGTCAGCTCACCTGAGGTCCGTGGCACAGCCAACCTCCTGGGCGCTGGCAAACGACTGAATCTTCCTGGCCGCGCCCCCGCCGAGGTCCTTTCAAATCTCCCGCCCTGGCCCTATTGGCCGAGCGCGCGTCCATGCTCAATTCTCATTGGCTGGATATCCCATGACGTAAACCTCGGGGGCCCAATGGAAGGTGCGGAATGAGAGCTGCCGCAAGGAAGGGTTCTGGGTTAGAAAGGTTTCCCTTATTCCCCAACCAAGTATTCTCATGTCCTTTTTAAAATATATATATATTTATATCTTTAATATAACTGGAATGTATCCTTGTGTAGTATGAACTGGGGTCTAACTTCGTTTTCTGCCAGGTGGAGAGCCAGTTATGCCAGCACCATTTGTTAAGCAAACAGCACCATTCCTAGTGGAATTTAAATGCTACCCTTGATATATGAAGTCATCGTAAATATTGATCTATCTCTGGACTCTTTATTCTGTTACACTGTGTGTTCGTTTCCTTGTGCGTTTATTCTTGTCATTACTATTTTGTTTTTTAAAGTCTTCGCTCACATTCCTGATAGGAATATCCCACCAGCAGACCTTTCTCCGCATGTCTCCTGATGAAGGCCACCTTTTTGGCGCCCACTCTCACTTTTCGCCTTCCTGCCAGGCTCCCTTTTTCTCTGCTCTTTCCGACCTTGAATTTCATTATCGGGTTAAATAAATACATTTTGGGACCGTCTATGAAATAACTAGTGGATATTTGTAAGTAGTGTTGCCTGTCCACCCTTCTTTCTTTCGATAATAACGCCCTAATTTGTCTGTCTCCCCATTCTGTGTTGTTTCTGTTGCTGCCAACTCAAAATACCCAACTTGATGAAGACCTTTAGCAGCAGACATTGTGGTTATCTAGCCAGCGTCCATTCTCTGAGTGATTCCCACTTCGTAAAAGTACCTAGAGTTTTTGGGAGAAGGAAGTTGACCTCAATCCTAGGTCCAGGAGTGGATCCTGTTTGATTTACACCAGTCATCACGTTTTCACCCAGGATCATCCAGGATCATGGTCATTAATTCAGGGATAAGCATGTGACCTAAGGGGACCGCTTAGTGGGAATTTTAGAATGCTCTAGAATGTTGGGCAGAAAGTCTTTTTGTCCTACTGGAAATGGACAAGGAATCACACAGCAGCATTGGTGCTGCTGGTGCTCCTGAAGGAAGCCGCCTGAGAATGACGCGAAACTGCTGATAGTCAACCATTTTGACCTACAAAAAATACAAATTTCATATGATTCAAGCAAATATAAATCAAATAAGTCCTTATCTAGATCAGTTCATAATGTTTTTGGTTGTAAGCAACAGAAAACTCAGTTAACAATGGAATATACAATAGAGACTATTTTTCTTACATAACAAGAAATTTAAAAAGTAGGTAGTTGTTCTAGGAACTGAACAGTGTTAGAGATCTGGATCATCCTGTAATTCTCCTAACACTTCCCTTATGATTGCAAGGTGGCTGCCAGCTGTCTTTGTCTCTTTTATCAGGAAAAACTCAAGACTTGCTAGAAGTACCCAATAGATTTCTCTTGGACTAGAATTGTGTCACATGACTACCGCAAGGAGGCTGGTAAAGTGACTCTCTCTTCCAGCCACAACAGTTAAAGCAGCAAGGGGGTGTGGTGGTAGAAATAGGTGTGTACCAGAGTCACCTAAAGTTTCATTCTGGGGAACCCATGATTAATTTAAAAAGTCATAAATCTGTGCATGATGACATATCTGTAGGGATTTGAGGATCATGGCCACCCTGCTGCCATTTGTGAAAAATCATTTTGCTTCTGGAGGTTTTCACTGAAGGTCAATCCCACTTTCCAAGATCAGAGAGCCCATTTCAATTGCAGCGCCTTTATCAAATATTTGGCAAAGAGATTCTAGCCAATGAAAAGCTTTATAAAAATTCTATCACTTGCAATATACTTTATTCCTCAGGATCTAGTGAAGGGAGACTTTTCTGGAACCTATCATGGGACATAGTTCATGGGTACAATATGTCTGGTAGATTCAATACAGTACCTCTGTCCCCTGGAGTTTTTAAATTATTGCTTGTATATTATGTCAGAAGATAGTTGACCTTTCCACAGTATTTGATGGGTCTGCATAGAATCTGGATTTGCATTTTTTGTAAAACAACCAAAAACTTTTATCAGCTAGGCAACTATCAGCTGCCTGTTGCAGTTAGTGAACAAAATCTGTTATTTACTCCAATGCTTCTCAAACAATCTGTGGGGGAGAAACAGTCTTGATTTTTTTCAATCTATTACAGACATACTTTTACAAAATACAATGAAAATGAATTATTTGAAAAATACAATCTAAAAAACCAAAAATTACAAGCTCACTTCTTTTGTTATAATTAACATATATAAGAGTACTCTGAC